CCTGCAGTGGAGCCTGTACATAATTTATCTACGCATTTCCGGCCTTTTATCAACATTTTATCTACAGCACATGCTGCATACCATCAGAATACCCGTACTGAGACGAGAACAAGAATGTGTCTTATTAAGGGTGGGAAGGACGAGGGGAGGGGATGTGGGCTGGGGAGGGGATGTAAGGCAAGGCTCGGGCGAGGCCCGGGCGAATCTCAAGTCGCGAGTAAATGGTCCCCTCGGCTCACATCCTGCCCCCCACTCACCTGGCCATACCTAGCCCCCTCACCCTCCCCTCCCTCTACGAGCCACATTTTTGTTCTCGTCTCAGTGAGGGTATTCTGATGGTATGCAGCATGTGCTGTAGATAAAATGTTGATAAAAGGCCGGAAATGCGTAGATAAATTATGTACAGGCTCCACTGCAGGTACTGTAGTATGTATGCTAAATGTGAGTGTCTGATGGATAGCCTAGTAGTACCAGGTGCGGTATCCGGTACACTCTGCCGCTCTCCGAGCGAGCTGAGGCACGGGGCAAGGTCATTCATCGGTAGGAAAGAGAGGAAGAAGGGGGAGCGGTACTACACAAGTACTATAGCTCATAGCGCTACTCAGAGGCCACAGTATGCGCGCAGTAGTGATGAAAGTGGACGAAGCCACTTGACATGGCCATATCCATAGCAGCTCGAATGCGACAACCAGATGAAGATGGGAAGGCGCAAAAACAAAGAAGCGTAACGCTTACCGTGGGAAAGTACTGTACGGCTGGCGTTAATACTGGAGGATGACTGGAATGCATATGTGAGACCCCTGTATGAGATTCACAGGGGTAGGTCCAAGCGCTATAGAGTATCAGCCACTTGCTTCTCCTCCTTGTGCCCCACCAGTAAACACATGATCTCCCAGCGCCTACGCACTCTATCTCCGGCGTAAATTCAGAATCAAATCTTCACCAATACTCCTCAGAACGTCACCCCGGCGATTAGCTATATCGTAACTGGCTCTGCCAGTACTGGCAATAGACTGGTAGGTAAAAAAAGTGTCATTGATTCTCTCCCTGAATATAAATTACATATGAGAGTATGGACCACGGAATTGCATTCTACTAGTTGATACGAGTCTGTGGATATATACATGTAGGTGGTATGGGGTGGTGGTTGGGGAGACGTGCAAGCTCGCTGTGTCACACAACGAGCACGCCTCGACGCGCGACCGGCGCGCCGCCGCGGAACCCTCCGGGTGTTGCCGACTCGCGCTCCCGGCACTACCGCGCCTTCTCGCTTCCCGCCATCGACGAACTTTCCCTCACCGAACCAAGATTTCGCCCATCAAAGTCAAGATCTGGCAGTTCGAACCTAGATTCGCAACAGGTTACCAGGTTTATCGGCGAAGATGCGGCTCAATAGCCCCACAAGATTATTGTCCGGTCGAGGCCTTCAAATTCCTCTTGGTGGCAACCCTTGGATCTCGCACCGTAACCTCGTTCATCGCCGGAGACCTGACAAAGACATACCCGATCGAAGCACTCTGTCCTACACGTGGCGGCCATTTTGCCTCTCCGCCTGTGGACACCACCAGGAGGTTGTGGGACATCTAAAATCGCGGCCAGGCGGGATACCGAGCGCGGGATCTTTCTCGGGAGACAAGGGCCGTAGCTGTCGAGCTTCGTGCCACGAATAAATTCATAGGGAGGTCACGGTATGCCTTGCACCGTTTCTCACTCTGCATATACCATCACATGGTATAGGGTGCATTGAAGTGTATTCTACAGGACAGACAGAAAGGCAAGCTAAATAATGCCACGGAACGATAAGTCCTCGATTTCTCGGCCCCTGCGGCGGCAGACGATGTCCTGCTGCTCCCTACCCCCCTATCAATCCATAAAGCGACCGCACCCTGAATCTCCAAGCTGGACAGTGCGGGTGCTCTACTGCCGTCTTCTCCTCGACCTTCCTCCAATGCTGTTTCACCTCCGCCAAAGTCCCGCCGACCTACGCCCCGGTACTCTCCTTGCATGCCACTCCTTTGCTTGCGCATACTTTAGCAGATGGCGTGCCGTCATCTCCTTGTACGCTCCCTGCCACTCGACCCACTCCAATATGCCTCACAGAAGACAGAGCGCGCAAGGTTCTACGATGCCTCTTCCATAGACTGTAGAATCCCCTTGTATGAGCAGATTCTTCCCGGGGAGGCCTGCGTCAGAGCGCTGTCGAGAGATCCACTCTAAGAATGCGGGATATTCTTCGTCTAGATGCACGTCACCCAGGATTACGGTAGTCAGTCGTGACGCGCAGTCGGTGTCTGGGATCTCAGATAAGACCGCGTCAAGGTCGAAGGCAACATGGTCCACCCGTAAGCGCCCCAGCGAGGGCAGCGAGCGCAGAATGTTTGCCCACACACGGCTCGTGCGCGGCACTCGGTCTCCCCGGAAGAACTCGACTTCCCGAAAGCTATCCCACATCAGGACTCTTTCCAGTATGTCGGTTGACTCCGACCACTCGCGATCCCATGCGGAGAGAGTTAACCGAAAGGATCTCTGCTCCGACTCCGCACCGTTCAAACGGCGGAGTGAGATAGACATCTCGTGGGGAGGGCGATAAGAATCAAAGACGAGCTCGCACTCCTTGAAAGTCCCTTTGACATTTCCGGACGTCGACGCCTTCAGAATGTGGCTGTGAATGGCCACGTCGAGAGCGGCGCAGACAACATCCGTCGATCTTGCCTCCAGTCCGGCCAACTCGATCTCGACGTAGACGGCACACGCTTCCGGTATACGCAAATTGACTATGGTGTAGATGACTTGTTCAAAGGGGCCGCCCAGTTGCAAGCTTTGGAGATGTACGAGTGGTGTGACTGCGTTTGAACGCAGTATATCTGTATCGACGGGATGACCTCGGTGGTGCCACGTGCTCTTCAAAGCCAGCATTGTTAACAAGGGTAAACCTCTCAATATCTCCAGCAGGGCAGCAGCGTCAAACTTGAAGTGGCATCTGTCGAGGACCAGCTCGGTGAGACGAGCATGAAAGACTGACGAATTGCGGTCAATCCTGCATCGGGTAAGACTAACCGCTCGCAGCGAGGGAGGGGCGCGCCCGCCAAACGCATCCGAGCCGAGAGAATAGTTGTTCGACAGTGTGATATCCGTCAAGGCGGCCCACTGAGGGCTCCCGAAGACTGCACGCCAATCGATGAGAAACGTCTCGCAGTCGATATCGATGACGATGGCCCTTCGCAGATGTGGTCGAAGAATTTCGAAGCCCTGTCGCCACGCGATAGTGCGCATAGGATCAGGTCGCAGAGCTAGCACGAGCGGATGTTGCCTGGATCGGGTCACGTAGAGTTTCGTGAGTCTGGTGTTGCTCAAGTTTGTAATGCGTGTCCAGACCCCTGGCGTCGCCAGAACAGCCGCGCGGAAGCTGCGGCACACGGCCTGTAGCGTGAAAGCTACGGGAACGCCCTCCCTACTGCCCACTTGAGATCGATGGGCCTCAAGTATGAATAACATCAGAAGCTCGGGAATGCCCAGTGCGCACGCAACAGCGGTCTTGACAGGAGTAAGCCGACCAGTTAAATAGACCGTCAACAGCGAACTACTCAGAAGGAACTCACCCGCTGTCCACGAAGCTTCTTGGGCCTTGAGACGCTCTCGAGAACGGGCTGCGAGGCAGGGAAACAGGTCGGCATCTAGCTGACTCGATAACCGATAGTATAACGAAGGACGTGGCGGGTGGTGGTCGTCGGGATGCACAACCCTGTGACTACGCCCCCAGACGGCCGCCAGCGGGAGCGCACGTGCGCCACGGGAATCAGCACGAAACCCACACTTTTGCGACAGCGAAGTTCCGCGTTGTGTTTCCATTCTTAACCACCATGATCCTGCATCATCGTACCGTACTTTTCATAGTCATCTTCTTTCACCTTGTGACACACGCGCTTTCTCTGTGAATCCATGCTGCGTTAACTTGTGCTTTGATATCCAAGATGAAGCGTACTTGTCTATTGCGAGCACGTCGTCGACAGTGCTGTTTGCCGCTCGACCGATCCAAGCACATCCTATGCCCGCCGACGAGCGGGATGGCCACTACACGGCAGGAAGATGGTAGTTTACTTTACGAGTACGTCATTAACCCCCCTGCCCCCGTCCCCTCGACCTCCTCGATGCGGGACGCCTGTGACCGACGAGTAGACCACCTAAAGGACTCGTGTCTACATTTTTCTCGCGCCCTCGCCATACTTCCGCGCACTGTTCGAAAGGTCCTTACCCGTTGCGTCAACATAGACTCCGTGACATCGCACATCGCACTCGACGCGATCAGACTCAGATTCAGAAGGCCGCCGAGCTCGTGCTGCATGGACGCGACCGGTATGAACCCAACGTCTCGAAAAAAGGCGGGAGCCGTGTGCCAGACTCCGTCGCTCGACTCAATGACTCCAGTATTGATGGCTCCACAACGTCTGGGGACCCCACGCTCTGCCCTCTACCGATCTCGCGACGCGCTTCGGGTCCTAATGAGAAAGGCCCGAAATGTCATTGATTGGAGCAGAACTTATCGAGTTTTAGTAGGACTCTGTTGATGAATGACATGAATCCCGTCACGTCCAGCAGGATTCTCAAATTTATTTTTATTTTTGAGGAAGGCACCATGTCCATCACGACCGCTCGGTGCGAGCGTCCGACTCCTGCAGGATGCTCCCATCAAGCCACAAATGCGCAGAACGGGGTCACAGACTGCATCGAACATGTTGTCTTCTCAAATAAGTAGACATTTTCTTTTGCTATGACAAATCAACACCATTGAATTTACAAAAAGCTGTAGTTGGCAAAAGCAAATTATATTTCTCACATGATCTATACTAGATATATGGTATAGGACGAGTGAGCGAAAGCAGAACGGGGCCCGCGAGCGTATCAAGTGTTTCTAGGGTCGAAGGCTATGTAAACCGATGACTACCTGTACTCATGAAGGAGAGCACACAGGAAGCGGCGCGACGAGCCAGCGGGAGAAGGAAACGATCGGCGATCACTGCAGGTGTCGGGGTCGGAGAGCCGGCGAAATCGTGGGTAGGTTGTATGAGAGAGGACGAGCGTAGCCGGGTGCGAGGGTGGGCGTGGGGTACGAGGTATATACAAGGTATAAGTGGAGGAGCGAGGGGGCGAGTGCAATCGTAGGGACGGGCTGGCGAGGAAAAGCGTAGACGAATGCTCGCGGGTGCGTGGGGGTCGGCGCGGGACGGGCCAGGCGGGACGGGCCAAGCGGGCAAAGTTGCGTGAAAGTATATGGGGCGGGGGGATCGCGGCAAATAAGACGGCATTTCTAGCGGACACTATGTGAGGTCAAGTAAGTACGAACATCATACGGAAAGGTGCAGGTAGGGAGGAGCTGCGCGTGGCGAGAGTATGCAAGACTCGATACGAGGCGGATGAGAACGAGGGAAGAGAGCTGGAGGACATGGCGTAAGGTGCCGGTGAGAAGACTATGTAGCGTACACCCTGCAGTGGTTGGCAATAGTCGTTTGATAGACTAATAGGACGTGTATTCATTGACCCTCATGAGTCGTGATGAGCGCGTTCACGAGGGCGCTAATCGGTACACCACACCGCTATGTACGCGTGAGCATCGCAGAATGTACGGGTACGCGGCAGGACGTACGCATAGGCAGGAATAGCAAAAAGACTCGGTAGTGGTTGGGAGCAACTCGAAACGCGGGACGCGACCCGGTAGCTGGGCTGGTGACTGGAAACGCGGACATCGCTTTTTGCCTCTAACCACCACTCACCGGGGTTTTTCCCACGGTCTACATTATGCCTACCACCTAATCGCGGCGACCATCGCGCCCAGATTTTGGGTGCCATCCCTACTCCTACTCGTTCTACTTCTACAAAGCGATTTCCCGCCGTCTCGATGACAATCGACGTCCAACTCGCTCCGCGATCGCCCCGCTGCGCGGCGCGACTCGGCAATATTCGTGGCGTTCCGCCCCATCCTTCGGTACGCAGGCCGGCCCTGCTGTACACATACACATCCCTGTCGTATAACGTCGTGGTGTGTCGCCACAATCGACGGCAGCTCTGCCGGAAGAGGAAAGGCATTGGGGGGGAGCCGTGGAGAGCTAGTCCGGGCCCACACGTAATCCGGCATATATCTCGCGCCCCCAGCGTGTAAGTGCCTCGTGGCTTGCGGCTCGTCCGGGTACAGGATAGCAGCCGGTCGGGGTGGCGGCGGCGTCAGGAGAAGGCGGGTGTTGCGCCACGGGCCTCAGACGTGGTAAGCAGCCTGTACGGCCTGGCCTTTGAGCTATGGCGTACCGTGGATAGGGCTTGGTCCTCTAGGGTTTATCCCAGAACGACCCCCCGATAAAGGCAGGAATCCCCACGGCAGGAGTTGTGCCCTGCGCGTGCCTCCTTTCCTCCCCGAGGTCCTCCTCCAAAGCCATCCCTACTGCTTGTTGTACGGTGCTCACGACTTGTCGCCGGTTGCGTGGTAACTGCCGCACCCTGCCTGCCCTCGCCCAACGCCTAACACCGACAACACTGACCTAGGGGCATTATGGCCTACGGTTGGGTCGCCGATTTCCGTGTCGACAGGAGGGAGGAGGTATGTGTGGGAGTTTGGCGCTCGGCGCGCCGGACCCTGCGTATGCAGAAGATGGTGGTTGGTACCACGTGCTCTTGCAACCGTTCATTGTCTCGTGTGTTTCGGACTCAGGCGTCGATTCCCCATGGACCTTTCGGATTTCTCCTTCGGCACCTTGTCTTTACGGCTTTCGAGCCACTGTCGCAAAATCGGCTTTATGCTGATATCAACAATCCCCTAGACCCATTACCTTCTTTCTCGTTTCCGTTTTGGTGTCTACCTACATCTTGAGCTCCCGTTTAGGTGCATTGTGTGGCCGGTGCCTACGTGATTACGATTGCAGAGTATCCGGAACCATCCCCGACTTTACGGACTAGTCTTCTCTGAATAATTGTGGCCGTGTACAATGTAATCCGGATCGATGGCCGGCGTCATGTATTTACGGTCCTATAGTGCCCCTAGCCCTCCGGGCGGCACTTTAAATATACTGTTGATTCAAAAAAAAAAAAAAGACTGGAAACGCGGAAGACATGCCCACACTCGGTATGACTCGACGCGCTTGCACGTGCCTTTCGGAACCGCAACGCGTCGAGCTCGGCCACCTCTCATGTTCTCTACCCCCTCTGCTCGCACTCTTTTGAATTTTTGGCCAAACACAATGCGTGCTGTGATCCCCGTCATGCACGTTCTCCGACTCTCGCGCCCTCCACCCCAACTCTCGCCAGGTTCTGTTCGCCACTCAGCAACGTACGCGCTTTGTGGCCCGCCATCGTCTCACCCACCGTGCATGCGCCTCACGCCGCCGACCATAGCTCCATCTACGCGATCCGCCCTCACCAGACCGCATCTTTGCCGGCTTACCCTAACCGCTCTCACCTCGGGCGCCCTCACCAACTCCGCCATTACCCGTACCAGGACAAGTCTTCGTCAGCTTTGCACTGGTACCTTCTCGCACCAACCCTCGTTTACCTTCGCCTCGCTGGCCGGTCTTTGCCCAGACCCGCCCTCGGCAACCCTCTCTTCCACGTCGTACCTGCATCCGCTCTCCCCAGCATCACACAATACCGCTACCCCCCATTTCCGCTCTTGCCTATCCTTTCTCTCCCCGTACCCTTTACTCCCTACCGACCACACTCTTCCTACTGACCACACTCTCCCTACTCACCGCCGCCCCCCTACTAATCCTCCTCCCTAGTAGCCGCTCTCCCCCGAACTTCCCTTGCTCCCCCGCGCCTGTCCTCGTCCTCTCTCGTATATACCAATACCTGCACCCGCACGCCCCGCCTACGCCGTCCCTCGTATGCGCCCG